CGTCATTGTTGCTATTTTTAGTAATTGCGTCATTTTATCTATTTTTAGAAATTGCGTCATTGTTTCTATTTTTAGAAATTGCGTCATTTTTTTTTCTATTTTTAAAAATTGCGTCATTGTTTCTATTTTTAGAAATTGCGTCATTTTTTTCTAGTTTTAGAAATTGCGTCATTTTTTCTATTTTTAGAAATTGCGTCATTGTTGCTATTTTTAGAAATTGCGTCATTGTTGCTATTTTTAGAAATTGCGTACTGTTGCTATTTTTAGAAATATGCTTAATGTTTCTATTCATATATATACAAAATATATAAACAAAACTAATGTGACAAGACAGACCAACTAAATTTATAAAAAGGAAACATCAATATATGTTCAAACCTTTCTATGTTTGCGTTTAGAAAAAGTAAAAAGTCGAGCGTTGCCCCCGCCCGGCGGTGGCTCTTGTTTTTTTTTTCAACAAATTTTTTAAATTTTTTGTTATCAGTGATAAAAATCATGTGATAATGCCATTTTCCAATTAAAGGTGGATAATACTGTTTAATTCACAAATGTCAGTCTGTCATAGTCAAGGTTCAAAGCTCATGTTTAAAGATCATAGGTTAAAGTGGCAGTGGCTGACCCAGAGCAGAGAACAATTTATGCAATAACTAAAGAAAATTGAGCCAATATCTGCTAAATCAAAAGTTTTTGATTGCTTGCCTGTAACAGTTTTCAAAAGATATGAAATGGTTCTTTGTTTTAAGAGTCAAGTTAACTTTCGTGATATCAGCAGGTCCTTTCTGATATTCACGATATTAGTACATAAAAAACCTCTACTACAGATTTTTGTATACAATTAAGTCTTGGGTAATTTTTCATTTAAATTAAATGAATACTATACAAGCCTTCAAACAGCTGTATAATTCATAAATTTATTGAAATAACAAATACAAATATTATTGATTATAGTTAAACATTAAAAAAAGATTAAATCAAATATAAATGACAGATGAATCATATAGATAAACATGAATTTATAGAGTTTTGAAAACAGTAATGTTGTCTCAAGACTGAAAGTAAACTTGAATTCCGAAATATATGAATTGATTAGGTAGAGCAAATATTGAAAATTTATGAGCAACAATGCTAGATATGATTTAAGTAGTCATGAACAGAATTACTGTCAGTATGATTGATTATATCATACTATACTTTTAACTGTATTTTTAGGTTTGAAAACTTATATAACAAATACTTAAGATGGGTTTTTAATCTGCTTAAATTTAGAAAAGGCAGATTTTTTTTTTCATATTTGAATTGCGAATTCATTAAGTTGGATAAGGTAGATTCATCATTGGAGAGAGCTTAGTGCTGCAAAATTATCTACAGATTTCTTACCTAACTCATCTATTAACATAATAATATGATTAGTGTAAACATTGTTATTTGAGCTTAAACTTAATTTGAACTTCATTTAACTACTACAACATAGACCTTTGGGAAACCATATCTTTCTCAAAAAACAAGCAATAAGAATAACAAAACCTCTTTGAGGAAAGATCATTATTTTGCATTTAAAATGGGCCTCATAATCTGATCCGCAATAATAGATAAGAAGAGACCTCTAATATTGATAATCGAGTAAAGAGATAGGAATATATTGATGTACATGTAATAAAACTATATTACAACTGCAGCTGTTGATAACTACTTTTAACTATATTGATGTACATGTAATGATAACTACATTTAACTATTTTGATGTACATGTAATAATAACTACATTTAACTATATTGATGTACATGTAATAATAACTACATTTAACTATATTGATGTACATGTAATGATAACTACATTAAACTATATTGATGTACATGTAATAATAACTACATTAAACTATATTGATGTACATGTAATAATAACTACATTTAAACTATATTGATGTACATGTAATAACTACATTAAACTATATTGATGTACATGTAATGATAGCTACATTAAACCATATTGATGTACATGTAATAATAACTGCATTAAACTATATTGATGTACATGTAATAATAACTGCATTAAACTATATTGATGTACATGTAATAATAACTGCATTACACTATATTGATGTACATGTAATGATAGCTACATTAAACCATATTGATGTGCATGTAATAATAACTGCATTAAACTATATTGATGTACATGTTATAATAGCTACATTAAACCATATTGATGTACATGTAATAATAACTGCATTAAACTATATTGATGTACATGTAATAATAACTGCCATTAAACTATATTGATGTACATGTAATAATAACTGCATTACACTATATTGATGTACATGTAATGATAGCTACATTAACCATATTGATGTGGGCATGTAATAATAACCTGCATTAAACTATATTGATGTACATGTTATAATAGCTACATTAAACCATATTGATGTACATGTAATAAAAACTGCATTAAACTATATTGATGTACATGTAATAATAACTACATTTAACTTTATTGATGTACATGTAATGATAACTACATTAAACTATATTGATGTACATGTAATAATAACTGCATTAAACTATATTGATGTACATGTAATAATAACTACATTTATAACTATATTGATGTACATGTAATGATAACTACATTAAACTATATTGATGTACATGTAATAATAACTGCATTAAAACTATATTGATGTACATGTAATAATAACTGCATTAAACTATATTGATGTACATGTAATTATAACTACATTAAACTATTTTGATGTTACATGTAATAATAACTGCATTAAACTATATTTGATGTACATTGTAATAATAACTGCATTAAACTATATTTGATGTACATGTAATAATAATACAAATTAAAACTATATTGATGTACATGTTATAAAACTACATTAAACTATATTGATGTACATGTAATAATAACTACATTAAACTATATTGATGTACATGTAATAATAACTGCATTAAACTATATTGATGTACATGTTATAATAACTACATTAAACTATATTGATGTACATGTAATAATAACTGCATTAAACTATATTGATGTACATGTAATAATAACTACATTAAACTATATTGATGTACATGTTATAATAACTACATTAAACTATATTGATGTACATGTAATAATAACTACATTTAACTATATTGATGTACATGTAATAATAACTGCATTAAACTATATTGATGTACATGTAATGATAGCTACATTAAACTATATTGATGTACATGTAATAATAACTACATTAAACTATATTGATGTACATGTAATAATAACTACATTAAACTATATTGATGTACATGTAATAATAACTACATTAAACTATATTGATGTACATGTAATGATGAATACATTTAACTATTTTGATGTACATGTAATATATAACTATATTACAGCTGCTGCTGATGATAACTATAATCGTATATCAGACTGTTTTGCTTGTGCTATACTAAGTCATGGAGAAGAGGGAGTAGTGTTTGGGACTGATGCTAAAATCGAGGTCAAACAACTTCTGGAACCTTTTAAGGGCAATAACTGCAAAGGCCTTTTAGGAAAACCCAAATTATTTTTTATTCAGGTAAGTAGTTTTATAAGTTATGCTAAATGAGATGAAGCTCTATATTGGGCTGCCTGTAATTGATGGTATAGAGGATATTTGTTTAGTTCAGTGAAAAATGAGAATATATTTCACCGAGTGAGCACCAAAAGGTATATTTCACGAGTGGCGCAGTCAAAGTGAAATATGAACTTTTGGTGTTCATAAGGTGAAATATATTTCGATCTTACACTAAACTAAACAAATTTTCCATTTATTATATGCAAAGAAACGTTTAAAAAGACATTTAACCTAATACTAAATGAAAAGCGCGCCAAATAATAATACAATGTGACATCATTTACCACGTCACATCATTAAGTTGGTTTCCAGTACTGTGCACACTGGTTTTTCACTGAAACAACGTAAGGGGCTTAAATTCAAATCAGTGAAATTATCAAATTGATAATTTCACTGTTTTAAACAGTGAAATTATCAGTTTTATATTTCATTGATATATTTCTATTAACCACTGAAAAACATGTAATAAATATTAATAATGTATCTGCTCGGATTTGAGTTACATTGTATTATTGAATTCATTGCTTCATCTTTGAATTTAGATTAAAAAAAAATTGATATTTTTGCTATAACTGAAATATGATAAATCTTACTATAACTGAAATATGATAATTCTTGCTATAACTGGAATATGATAAATCTCTGATTGTAGATACATAGGTTTGATTAGTATTGACAGATATGTAGGTACTGTTATCTATGTCCCTGGTATTAACTAGATTAAAAGCCCAAACCATTAGCTTGGGAGCTATGTAACATTTTCTGTACACTGAATGCATAACACTTCATTGACAGTAAAAAGGTCATCAACATTCTTTGTTATTGTCCTAAATAAATGTTGTTATTACCATTGTTGGTTTATTAAAAACTTGAAGGCATACCTGTATATTGATACCTGTTATGGCTATATGAAATTTATATTGTTACATGATACCTTCCATGATATAGGCTTGTCAAGGAATGCAGTTTGACTCTGGTGTAAATGTTAATGCAGTAGATGCCAAAGGTCAAATGGAGTTGGAGAGGCAAATAACAGTTCACAAGATTCCATCCGAAGCCGACTTTCTAATTGCTTACTCTGTTGTTCCAGGTAGGTTTTGTTGCTGTATCTTTGTTGGTTTAAACATATTTGTTTGTCACATAAGAACATATTTACATACATGACATTTACAATCGATACAAAAAAAGGATTAGACTGGGAGCAACCTATAAGTAGGTTACGTGGGACTACATCAAGCTGATTTGTGTTTATATGCAGATGACTTTCTCGTTAGTTATCCATCATTGTTTTTGGTTCAGCTACAATATAGGGTGATTAAAGTTATCATTTGAGTAAGCTTTCTCTTTACCTTAATTAATATGGCTGATGGTTCTACTGTGCTGCCTACTTTACCTAAGTTAAACTAACATACATTGTAATTATGACCTTAATAGCTATACTTAAAGTCTAACAAAAAAGTAACAAAAGTTAATTTAAAAAAAAAGAGACTTGGTGTATCCAGGTGCCTATCAAAAAGCCAATTCTTTTTTATGTTTTCAAGTGTATACTAAATTTTCCTTAAATACCTGAGATTCAAGAAAATTCTTTGGAGATAATTTGTAGTTCCTGTGACAAAACGAGCGAGTTGAGGACTGAACATTTCTACAGTGTTATGCTATACATGCATTTGCTCTAATGTTTCAGTTAAGTGAAAAATCTGTGTGAATTTATGGTATATGATTAATTGTGATTATATCACATACTAAGTAAATAGTAAGACAATAGAATGTTTTTGCAAGAGTTAAATTCATAAAGTATATTTCATATAAGATGTTCACCTTTACAATGCTAAATATCTTAAATGGACTTGTCCATCTTTTAATCTGGACAAAAACCATTAAAAATATTTAGGGAAGTTTTAAAAGTATTACTGATAAAACATCAAAGTGTGCAGACCATGATCTCTGTATGCACTGGTCTTATGAGTAGATTTAGTTGCTACCAGCAGACAAAGGGTGTTTTTTTAGACAATGAATTTTTATTCCACAAAGTATTTTTTTTTTCATATACAATTTACAGGGTTTTACTCATGGAGAAATAGTGCAAATGGCTCCTGGTTTGTTCAGGCATTGTCCGATGTTCTTGCCAAGAACTGGCGTGACATGGATCTCCTTACCATCATGACACGGGTCAACAAGAAAGTCGCCTACGAGTTCGAGTCAAAGACAGGCAAAGATTTCATGAACCAGAAGAAACAAATTCCATGTATTACATCTATGCTGACTAAAGAAGTAATATTCAAACCTAAGAAATAAACTGTGATAATTTGAATGTTTAGAGTCACGATAAATGGAATGGTCCATCGTACCTTGTATTTTGTAAGCTTGAGATAGTCTTACTATGACACTATTATGATTTTAAATAGACTCTTTCAATTAATAAAAACATGATTTTATAAATTAGCTCGTTATAATTTTTTTCCATGGAAGTCTTCAATTTCTTTTCAATTTACTTATGTCATTCTATAATATTGTTTATAAATTCAAAAACCCTTACCTCATTTTATAAAAGTACTTGGGAGATTTAGTTATGTCACATAGAACATAATATCATGTATTTCTGGCAGCTGCGGAACTCTGTTGATGATCATAATTATGTAAATGTTAAGCATGAAAACTTTAGCAGTTACTATATAACTATAATCAGTGTTAAGCCAGGTCGAGAATATTGTATATGTCAATTTTTATGAAACATGTAAATATGTGCATTTAAAGATATTTGATTGCAGTCAGTTGGAATGAAATTAAATGAACAAGTGTGAATTAACCATCATATTTAGGATAGTGAAAATGATTTAATATATGACTACGTATGCAAGAGTAAGATTCTATAATGAGCAAGACATTTTGATTTTTTCATTATTTCATATAAAGTGTTCAGATATTTTACATGCTACTTCATAGTTGTGTTGAGTTGCCATGACATTCTATCAAAAATCATATCAGTAAGTAGATTCCACCAGATGTACTATATAACTATAGAAACAACAATTAAAATAAAAGAACACTGGCCATTTTGTTTTGATTTGTTTTAGAATATTTTGCTGATGGTAAGGTTTTGTAATAGAATTTTGAGATTTTTTCTGTATAATTTCAACAAGTCATACCCAGAAATAATTGTCTCATATTGTATCTTAAACAGTAAACAGAAAGTTTTTGTTTGATGCAGAATAACTTGATCACTATAACTTATTTGCTAATATACCCAGTGCCTGAGTTTAGTTATGCATGTATATATGTATTGATTTTATGCAAGGTGTATGGATATATGTATATTTAATGCACATATATTATACTCACTGTGATACTTAGCTATTAAAACATGATTTTGATATTCAATAGAAAAATCCTTAGTCTTATGATATATCACAAAGTCTTATTTTGATCACATTTTCTGATTACTGTGGATATTACTGTTATACTTTTGTCACAAATGCTTAACAGCTACTTTCCATGTTGTTTTAAGCTACTGTGAAAGTTTTTAAAGCTATATCTGATGAAATATTTTACCAAAGTTTAAAACAGTAATATTATGTTGTTTTCATAACCTTAAGTGCAAAGCCAAAGGTTCAAATTTGCTAAAAGTTGAACATTAAAATCTTGAATTCCATTAACATATTTTGATGATCCTTGGTGTTAAAGGAAGACAACCCTGTTATGGTGATTTAAGACTGCTAAGTATTTTCAATCTGCATATATGGCTTATTTATATATGGGAATGATACTTCGTTATTAGAAATAACACATGTGTCAATTTGACACCTGTCAGCTATGTTAGCAGTGTTTGTTTTAAGAAAACATTGTGCTGCATTTTTTCTTGTGCCTTTATTGAAGAATGTTAAGAAACAAATCCAAGATTACCGACCAAAAAGAAGAAAATATCTTAAATTTAAATTTGAGACCAGTACAAATGTATCTATTACAAATAGCTCATTAGCTAATATATAATCATTTTAAAATAAACAGCTTGCAATTTTAGACGTTTATTGACAAGGTTATAATTTATCGAACAGTTCTTCTTTAACAAGATGGCATGTCTGTTGATATAAAGTCTTCTCAATAGACATTCTACTTTCACACCTTGTAAAATGTACCGGGTAACCAATAAAATTCCAGGATATTCTCAACATTAATCATTATGGATCCAGCCGTATCAACTTAGTCTTGTTTTTATTTCCCGCAAGTTCAGAAAATTTGTATCAAATGCATATTGTACTCTATCTTGCCACGTTTTCATTTCCAAGTCCATATGTTCCATATCAAATCCATATTGTCCTTGATTACTGTATCTATTATAAACACAAAGACACTGTTGATTTTGTGTGTTTTCTTTAATTTAATGTGTTTTGGGGGTGTGTGGGATAAAGATATATTGTTCAATACCATTCTGATTCTGTTGCACTTGAACATGGCTGCAAGACCTTTATTTAACTTGACTAGCACCTTGTCCAATATAGGTTTAACATCTGTGTTCTCGTCCAATAGAATTGTACTCGACAATCTATTATAACTTCATAATTATAACAGGGACTTGTTTTTGTAAAAACATCATTTGAGTTTGTCTATATATTTCATTATATGTCCAAGGGTGTTTGACCATGCTTAACAAATTAAAAGAAACAACACAACCAGTTTTTGATAATTGATAAACAATGTGGGAAAGAAAAATAAGAATTGGAGATGTAGTTTTAAGTGGTACATGGTAAAGATATTTTGATGATGGCCTTATTAAATTTAGATAATGTTTTTTTGTTGATGTTTTTTTGCTTATTCATGCCATACTTCTTTAGCAATGTGTTCATTTTATGTATCTTTTAATCTATATAAGGAGGAATATTATTTTAGTAATATTTGCATGGATGATTTTAGTCGCTAAATTGTTAATCAGCTTGTACTCTGTTTCAATAAATAAGATTTTTTATCAGTATATGTAGATTTTGTTAGTTTATTTGTAATGCATGCAGTATCAGTGGGGTATTATGATTTGAACTAATCAAGATACAGTCTTTGGTGTTTAAAAAAAAAGCAGCCTGCTAGTGAAAATGCTTAACCTCATAGTTGTTAATAAGGAACATGTTTCTTAAAGGTAAAATTGTGAAAAAGCTTACAGAAGCAAATGATATCTTCAAAAATTGAGCAAATTAAATATTCAATGTGTATTGCCAGTCCAGGTTTAAAGTCATGTTAAGTCTTGATCTTAATGATGAAATGTTTTGCCGTTATATAAAATCTTAATGACTTAAAGATTTTTATCAAGAGTTACTGTACTCTTTAAGAAATCATTTTACCTCACCTAACAAATGCTTAGAAAATATTCCTTGCATGTTACTTAAATGTGACTCTTAAAAGAGTCATAAATAAACTTTTCAATTTAAGTTTAGTTTTATTTTACAGCTTAATTTTGCATGTGATACATGATTTATGAAACTGCTGGGTGCCTTATGCTATAATATATACTTCTTATAATCTGTAGAATTTTCAACTTGGTTTAAGTCCAAATACCAGATACGTCACCATCTTGTCAGGTACCTAGCTGTTTGACATTTGAATTTTTTTGTTTGTTTAAGCTTGATTATTCAAAGAATAGGGAGGGAGAGCTATTGTACTCAACCAAGTGTCAGAGTCAGCATCACCGTTTGGTTAAGCTTTGTGGGCAAGTTGGTATTGCCAAAGCCACTGAAAGGAATGGGTTGAAACTTCACATACTAATTTGAAAGCATAATAGGTCACTGTCCAAGGATTTTAACTCTAACATGGATTCTGACAGAATTGTGGCCCTTTTTGAACTTATTTTTTTTTTGCGTTATCAAGGCTCTTGTTTCTATCAAGCACTAAGAACAGTCAAGCATACTGTCCTATGGACAGCTCTTGCTGATTTTGGTTAAATTGGGTAAAATTTAAAAAATATGTGCAAATGATATTTTACCAGACAACTATTTTTCTGCATGCAAAGAAAGAAAGGAAAACAACAAGATAAAGTGCTATTTTATGTTAATATATGAATGCTGTTATTGAATTAATTTATACTTTTTTCTACATTTACATGACATCTGTGTATGTCTATTTTTGTTTATCTTTCATTTTCAATATTCATGTTTATAGTTGAGTCACTAAATCGAATATTGTACTCTTGTATTAATTTGATGATAATAAATGAATCTTTAATGTACTAGTTATGTTCATTATTAAAGCTTTCCAATACCTGCCACCCTCCAGAGATCATGTTAACAATCTGTTTTGTTTGGTTTAATATTGTCATGTGGCTTTTCAGCTTAATTGGCTTCTTCAAGGTAACTGACAGCTTTCTTTAATGAAAGATTCCAAAGTGCCTGGACCCAAATTACTGTATTCCAAGCATCTCTTAGCTTCAGCAGGTGCAATAGTGTTGACCTATGGGGTCTGCTTAATTGTTGCATCTGAGGTTAGCCAAAATCCTCTTTCCTGTTTCGGCAGCATATTATCTAAATTGTGTTGGTGTGCCATAAAAACAAACAAACTAGGGTAGTCAATTTGAGGGCATGTTCACAAGTATTATGTTAGTGATTAATGCACATAGTGGATGACCAAAAAAATCAAGTACCTTCTTCTTCCATCACTTGTAATCATTGCTTACTGTATACACATGAAACTATAACTAGAGATATGTTTCTTGTAACATATTTATACCCCCACCACAAAATGTGGGGGGGGGGGGGCTATAATGGATTCGCTTTGTCGCGTCTGTCTCCATTTTCGTGTCCGAGCAAACATTTGATATTTATGAGCTTCATTCCGTAGTTAAATAAAGAACAAAAAATCATAAAATTCAAATTAAGAGCTATTTTTTTTTGTTTTTATGAGCTAATTTTGCTTATGGACGTTGGTCCAGGTGGTGTTTATGAGCTGATTTGCCGCATAAATGTCAAAAGTTGGTACATCCGCTCTATAAATCCTATACCAATTGAAGGATTTTCTTCAAACTTGGCTCAAATGTTCACCTCAACAAGGGGATGTGCAGAACCCATGTGTCAGCTCAAGGTCAAGGTCACAATTGAAGGTCAAATATTAAACAATCAAATAGTAGACAGTATGCCGTGTCTGCTCTGTAAGTCCTACACTAATTGAAAGATTTTCTTCAAACTTGGCTCAAATGTTCACCTCAACAAGGAGATGTGTAGAACCCATGTTGCCCATGTGTCAGCTCAAGGTCAAGGTCACAATTGCAGGTCAAATATCAAACAATCAAATATTAGACAGTATGTCGTGTCCGCTCTGTAAGTCCTACACTAATTGAAAGATTTTCTTCAAACTTGGCTCAAATGTTAACCTCAACAAGGGGATGTGCATAACCCTTGTTGTCCATGTGTCAGCTCAAGGTCAAGGACACAATTTAAGGTCAAATATCAAATATTAGACAGTGTGTCGTGTCCGCTCTGTAAGTCCTACTCAAATTGAACGATTTTCCTCAAACTTGGCTCAAATGTTCACCTCAACAAGGGATGTGCAGAACCCCATGTTGCCCATTTGTCAGCTCAAGCTCAAGATTGAAGGTCAAATATCAAACATTAGACAGTATGTCGTGTCCGCTCTGTAAGTCCTACACTAATTGAAAGATTTTCTTCAAACTTGGCTCAAATGTTCACCTCAACAAGGGGATGTGCAGAACCCATGTCACCCTTTTGCCGGCTTAAGGTCAAGGTCACACTTGAAGGTCAAAAATTGACTTAGAAAATATTCTTAAATTTTAACATGTATTTGAATATTTCTGAAACTAGAAAAGGTATTTGCTTGAAACTTAAAATATATATGAAGTGTCACAATTAAGATATGCTGGTCAAGTTTCATAACTCTGTATTGCATTTTAACAAAGTTATGCCCCTTTTTAAGTCTTCAAATTTACATACAATCAAATATTAGACAATATGTCGTGTCCGCTCTATAAATCCTATACTAATGGAAGAATTTTCTTCAAACTTTACTCAAATGTTCACCTCAACAAGGTTATGTGCAGAATCCATGTTACCATTGTGCCGGCTAAAGGTCAAGGTCACACTTGAAGGTCAAAAATTGACTTAGAAAATGTTCTTAAATTTGAACATGCACTTGAATATTTCTGAAACTAGCAGAGATATTTGCTTGAAACTTAAAAGATATACATGTATGAGATGTCACAAATAAGATATGCAGGTCAAGTTTCATCACTCTGTATTGCATTTTGACAAAGTTATGCCCTTTTTAAGTCTTTAAATCTACATACAATCAATACTAGACAATATTGTGTCCGCTCTATAAATTCTATACTAATGGAAGGATTTTCTTCAAATTTTACTCAAATGTTCACCCCAACTAGTACATTGGGAAAATGAAAAGTTATTTGTAACTGTTTCGAACATGATTTGACAATATATATTTATACTATTACCTGTACAATTAGTCTTTTTTTCACCAGAGATAATTTCATTTTATGTATGTGTATTTGTGCCACTAAAGTTATTCTTTAACCACCTTTCCAAGTCATCTTCTGTCAAGAACATTGGTGGGGGTATGAATCACATTCAGCGATAGTTCTACTTCGGTCTGTAAACATATTTTAGGTAATACAATCTTCCATTTGACTAGTTGTCTGAAGTTGTTATTATCATTTTGTATTAAATATAATACTAACTGATCTTCAACAGGAAAATATCTTCAGCTGTACAACAAAACATTTAAATCTCAGATGTGAAAAAAAGAAAGAAGACAAATCAGCATTAACAATCTGTTTATTTCTCGGCAGTGCTGTAAATATGATGTCTAGTTACACATAAAACTTTATCTCAATAAAACACATTCATTTGATTAAAACCAAATCTATATAAAATTCAAATAAAATGTTCATTTTTAAAAATCTGATAGTTGTAAAATCTGTGATATTGATTCTATATTATAAAAGGTTATTCTCATTGGTGACAATCTAAAAATTTATTTGAATGCCTACAATTGGTAAAACTGTTGGATAATTTAATAAATCAATACAAGAAGCACTAAATGGGTTTCACTATAAGTGATACTATAAACATTGCATAGAAGACATAATATCAAAGTGTCTGTTAACTTAAAAAAGCATATTTACAATCGCAACAATTATAAATACTGTACATACAAAAATAGGCACACACAGTATGCAAAAAAATATACACAACCTGCTTGAAAAATCAGCATATAAAATATGTTCATGCATAGTGTATTACACAAAGGCATAAAATGGCATAAAATGAGATCATAAAAAAAGTTCAATGAATGCCAGAAAACTGTTCATTTTTATAAATAATGTGAACAAAAATCTGATGTTACTGCTTTCCCCCCATTTATGGTTCAACATTTGAAAGCCTAACTGATGTCGACTTTTATTCAAAGCAACAAAACAGTGGCATATTAGACCTAATCTGAATTATAATATGATGATGATTGAATATGCAGCAGACAACATTGACCAGCAACAAATATGACACAATGTGTGAATAAGTTAAACAATTGAAAACTGTCATTAATAAATGACAGAAGTTATTTTTGATCATTTTATACACCTGAGAAAAACAAAACTTTGGCACTTATTTGTTTGAGTACATAAAATATTCCTTAGAACTTAAGACTTGCCTGAATGCTTGTTCATCTCTTATTCCAATTACTTGGCGAAAGTCGAAAAAACTGCTTACATGAATAAGAGATTGCAGCAAAATTCAAGTCGTATATACAAGGAAAGGTTAGTTTTCATGAAGAAATGTTATTATTACATTTTTTCATATATCCCACTTTACATTTCTCATTGTCTAACAAATTACACTACACCAACAACATGGAAATCTCCTTCAAAGTTAAATTTTTTAGCTACAGCTTGCTTCGGGTCAAATTCTACTTGTTGAGTGTTACCTTCAGCTACATGCCCTTGACCTTGATTGTTGAGATTCTGTGAAGATACATTAATCTCTTTATGTAAGTACTTCATGTTGTTCAGAACCTCTTTTTGACTTAATCTAACATTTTCATACAGTCTGTCAGATGATATTCTATCAAAAGAGTCTTCTGAACCCTCATCAAGCTTCCCAACTGAATTATTATGCCTTGATTCACTTTTTAAATTATTGCACATGAATCCATTATGAGTTTTGGGAAAATTGCTATCCCCTTTCTTACTTTCACTTGAATTTTCTGACAGTCTCGGAGAACTAAAACCGCTGTCTCCAAGAGACATCTCATGCACATCAGCAGTTAGTCTCTCTAAATGTTTATTTGCAATCTGCCTTGTGTCAATGACTGTACCAAGACTGTGTTCACTACTTTCTGTTCCTTCCACTGCACTGTCCGTCGATGGTGGCTCCTGACTAGAATATGAGTTAAGCGTACCACCTCCGCTACTGCTTGTTTGTTCGTCGTTGCCATAGTCACTTCCGTGATCAGAGTGGCGGTCACTTTCAGGAAGATCAAGTCTGTAATGTGTTGCCCGATCGCATAAAAAATCAGTGCTTTCTCTTGATGTTTCACCTCTACTTTGATCTTGACTACTTTTTCTATGTATTCTTTCTGGTACTTTTGGTTTAGTTTCATGAGATATGTGAACATTGGCATAAATATGGCTAGAAATTTCAGTTTTTGATACAGTTTCATGATCTTCTCTAACTGGATGTCTATATGACTGTGACCTCTGATATCTTTGACCTACAAATTGACCATGACCAGGGCCAACTTGTGGTTCATTCACTGTATGTCTGTATGAATTCGACCTTTGATATTTCTGACTTTTATTTTTACTAGGCTCAGGTTCAAGACCTATACAGTTCACTCCACTACTATGTGACTTCCCAATGGTTGAATGTTTGTTTGGCAATTGACCTTGAAATTGGTAACTTATATCATTATCCATTTCAGCAGCAGTTCTTGCACTCATTCCACTAACATGCCTTGACATTGGTAGGTAACTAGAATGTCGATCATGATGAGATTTTTTCTTTGTTTTATGAGATTTTTTCCTTGACCTCTCCTTTTCACCTTTCTGCTGACCTTCTTTGAGTTCAGTACTGACATGAGTTGAAGTTTCCCTAGTAACTTTAGATTGTTCAGGTATTGCACTAAATCTTGGTGTGGAACTAAATATAGGATGGGAAACATAGTTTGAATGCAGTGTCTCCCCAGAAGGAGACAGTCTTGTTGGCAAGGAGCTGAGGCGTATATTTGTTTGTCCCATACTATTCCTATAAGTATGTTTCTGATCTACATCAAGATGTGTACTTTCACCAGGGTTATTTGCTATCACAATTGGCAACCTATTTTTATGTTTATGAGATTTTTTATTTGATTTTCTAGGAATACTATTGCCACTGTCTGGATGATAATTTTGACTGAAATGCGCATGATGCATGCCACTGGTTCTTTCTGGGACAGAGTTAGCTCCCATGTGAAGACTTGTTGTTGGACTGTCTGCTGGTAGACTGTGTAGATAATGGTGCCAGGTACCAGACTTGTGCATCTGTTGCTGTACCCAGGTCTCGGTACGGAGCTGACGATCTAACTGCTGTTGATACCACATCCATTCAGGGGGAGGGAACTGGGCAGAGAATGTTGCATATTCAACAACAGGTTTCTCTGGTTCTGGGGGTGGCTGCTTTTTCTTGTTACGTCCAAATAACTTGGAGAAGAACGAAACTTTGTCTGAAAAGATAAAATTACAATAAGTATGTTTCACAAATTATAAACAACTAATATATCATAATGATGATGAAAAAAAATATCAGGGAATCTAAATTAAAAGCTGAAAAAGGTTTGCCTATCTAAGCTCTTATTTTACAGTAAATTCTTTTACGAAAGATGTTAATAATCTGAAGTTATTTGCAGAAGTTAAATAGTAACTTCCAGATATTTTTTCCTATTTTTTTTTTTTTTAGTAGATTTCAATCAATATAATAATTTATTAACACAGTTTCCCAATTTCAATTCCTTTATTATACCTATATAAATACCTTTATTTTTTCCTTGTTTGCCCTCACTCTTGGTTTCCTCCTTTGAAAGAGATTTGGATTTGTCATTCCTGCCTTTCACTGAAGAACTTCTCCGTACTGAGCCCACCTCAGATGCTTCATCCCTGCGTCCCCTATCTCGAGATCTTCTACCACTGACACTCATGCTTCTCTGAACACGCAGGGAAGGTAAATCAATCTGCAATCATAATTAATCCTTATCATGCAACATTTGCCATATGAACTTTATCATTTTGACAATCCATGGGGAGAGATTTAGAGGTAATTATATAACAATGTGTGTCTTTTAAAATTCTCTTAAAAAGGGGCATAATTCAAAAGTATTACTTTCAGAATTATGCCCCATGTCTCACAACTGCACCATGTCATTATAAGCAAGTAATCTTAATTTCATGTCCATAACTTTAAAAAAAATGGAAAAATGGACTACATTAAAGATTTTGCACGATGACAATGATTATGACGACACAGAGATCATAACAGCTCAATTTTTTTCTTCAAAATGGACAAACTAATGAAACAGAGTGAGACTCATGTAATTTCAAGCTTTATTTTAATTCAATGGAACTTGATTTGACAACTCTACATACTTCATTCCCTAACTTTGATCTAGTTTTTTAATCTCATCATGTCTGGTTCAAATTTATTGACATGTAGTCTACGATGTAAAAATTATATTATTTATATGTTTCATTAAGAATAAATTGATATCTTACATGTAGTTTTTCATTAAAGTTGAGATCTTTTTCTGGTTTGTCACATGACTCCTGATGACCAGTCATACTTTGCTCAGTGTCCACCTGGCAGGATATTGATCTCATTGGCTGTCTTGCCGGCTGACTAAAATTTAAAACATCACATGATTACAGTGTGTTTAAAAGCAATTCTATTTTAAATATCTGTTCTTTTGAGCAGACTGTAGTGGTTAAGGGTAACATTTTAGTGAATTTTTTTTTAATAATTGAAGAGGCATTTTACTTGCAGTGTAGCTAGTACAATCATACCCTCTACATTAACCTTAATCAACAGGTGTCTTGAATTAAAAGTTGAAAACAATGCAAATTTTGATATTTCAATTAGATAGCAAAAGGTTTTTTCTTGGTTTTCTTAATGTATAATGGTACTCAAAGGAAAAAGCAGTTCAGTTAATTGCTAGGACATTGTAAAATATCAAAATAACAGTAGCAGGACCTACCCAAAAGCAGCAGGTATATACATTGGATGTAGATGTGTCCAGGGTGACAGTAGATTTGAGGACTGAATGTCATCAGAATGCATGCGAAATGTATCTGGTGTTACCACAAAATATCCACAACCTGAAAATACAAATACAATACAAAAAATTAAACTCTCTCCCTTAACACATCCATGAAGTATATCCACGTTAGCTTAACTTTGTATTTTTCTAATGAAAACCCTTAAAAACTGTTCAAAATTTAAAACAGGAAACATGTATTTAAGAAATTCAACAGGTACAGGGCCAGTTATTTCTGTTTCCAAAGGGAAACAACCCAAAATATATTATGATCAAACTTTAGTAAGAGTTACATAACATTGACACAAAGAGTATTCATGTATAAAGTACATAGGATATAGAGGTGAACAAAATAAAAGTATTGATCAAAAAGCAATAAATCAATTCTTTCATTTCCTTCTACAATATGAACTAGATAGACAGCAGGTCTGGAACTTTGGTTCCTACAGCTAGTAAGGAAAGCATGCCAGCACATGTTGATAGCCCAATGAATGTTGTAACAAAATTCACTTGAAATTTATGGGCACAATCACTTTATATTGAACCATAAATACCCATACAGACAAAGAAGAGGTTTAAATAAAGCATATGGAAGTGCAAAAATAACAATCAAGTACTGCTAGACAGACAAATACAGCTAGCTATAAACTTAGCTATTTTGGTTACACAATCAGTGTTTATATATGTACTTTGTCTAAATGTTGGCTTTGAGTAAGAAAAAAATAAGCATGGTCTGCACTGTGCATTAATATTCAGTCAGTACTTATTTTGAAATGATGAATGGTTTTGTCTTGATTGAAAATCTGATGGATAAGTCTGATAGTATATTAAGTATGGTAAATAGCAATAATACTTGTAACTGGCCTCCTTTTTCTGTTTCATCATGAATATCTACTACCTTTCATTATGATTTTAACTTTCCATCAAATATAATTTATAAATTTGCTTTCCAATAATGCAGGTAAATTGTCATAAAAATATAACAATATTACACCAAATTTAAATGAAAATTCTGTCAAAGGGGAGAACATATTTTTTTTTTCTTCAACATTTGCAACAATCTTGATATGAATTTAAAGAGACAGATGTTTAACAATTTTCCTATCACTATAGTGGTGAATACTTGATCTGTTAAATTCTTCCCTTATTTTCATTCATTTTAAACCTTTCTCACACATTATAATAGAAGCTATAAAACTTAATTAACCATTCAAATCCCTTTAAAAGGCAGTAATAAAGTTGTTTTTTTTTATTCTAAGACACAACTGAGATACATAAATAGGGACATATACAACTATAGTATCCAGACTTAGTAAATATCAGAGTAAAGATTGTGATCACAGACTTAATTAACATAACCATAAAACAGATCTCTTGTCAACAATAAAGCCTCTTTCAATCTTTTAAACAGGCAATAAACTTTCTTATCAATTCCTAGGCTTGTTTAGGGCGAATCCTGGTCAACACTTATATCAATGAGCACTTTTTCAAAAGTGACAAATTCATTCAAAACTTGTAATTTAAACTGATAAAACTGAATAAAGGGACACTATCATAATTTCAGGATTTTACGACTTTCAAAGTAACAAGCAATTATTTCTATGACATGTATTACTGTAACATGTATATACTTGTTTAATCATTTACCCTTGCTTGATTTGGCTAAGCATTAAATAGAAGTTTTAAGGTAAGTTTGCCATTAAGTCTTGTGATACTAGACCGTTAATGCACAGTGATTTTTATAAAGGCCTCTTCTCAATGCAAATTTTCTTTATAATCATGCAGTTTTCCAAAAAAATCTGCACTTACACCTGCTCTCAAATTAGCAATTTTAGTAATATTTCTTTCCAAAATTAAAAATTGAGAAAAACCACCCGAGTTCTATACTGTCTTTATGTGCCAAACTTTGATATGGGACTATTTCAAAATTGATAATAATATTTTTTTTAAACAGTCTCATGTTTAACATACTGAATGGCCATGCAGTGACATTTGAATTATTCACATGTATTTGAATACCAAAAAGCTAAGAAGCACAATTCCAGGCTTTAATTCTACTTTTGTTTGTAAACTTATAGGCTAAGGGATCTCTCTATAGACTATAACCTATCCAACCAACAACCAAACATTTCTCAACTAAAGGAAACTCTTTCTCCACACAACACATCTTGAATTTTCATTAGCAGCATCATTACATTATTAATTTTTATTTCATTTTCTGGCATGGCGTCAAGTCATCAACATTCCAACCAGAATCTAGACTTTATAAACTGATATCACTGCTCTTATCTCCTCTTATTCAAACACCCATGATCAGTTTTTATACCCAAAATGCCACATATTATTAGTGTTATATTACAAAAAAAAAGTTCAAACAAAAAAAATCCTGACTTTAAATTCTTTAGGAAGACTGGTTTACATCATTAAGTCATGAAATAAAACAGTCACAAATTAAAAGTTTACATATTTATCTTTATATCTTTCTTCAAAGGAAACTGAACCTAATAAAGTTAATAAAATATTTCAAAAATCTATCATTTAATACAGCCGAATGTAAGAACATCTCTTTGATTCAACTTATTTTTCAAGGAATATATTTGAAAGCACCAAGATTTAAACTGAATTGCCAGAATGTACCAGAGTTAAGAGCTATAAAACTCATCCCATGCTGAATGTAAGGACAAACTTTCTATTTCAGGTACATTAAGTACATCTAAGTTCATATGATTACTTCTGAATATCTATCATGAACTTTCTAAGTTTATAAGATTTATATATATATATATATATATTATTCTATTATATATAGTTACTTCAACATAATATTATGTAGGAAGAATATTTTATTAATCGTATAACCAATTTAATAATAGTGTAGATTTAGAACAAACTTCCCCTCCCACAGACTTTTTATGCCATATGTGAGAGTTGGAGATCATGCAAACTCAATAACCTCCATAATTATCTGATTTGTTAATTTCAACATCAAACATTTGATTGGAGTATTACAAGGATTGAGTAACCAATAGAAACATTCCTTTTCAAGTCTCTGATATTCATCTTAAGCTAACTCATATTGATATTGTCAGTTAATAATACATAATCTGTTTTCCAGTATCAACAGTTTAAATAGTGTTTAAAACTGGGAAGATGTTACTACAACTTATGCCATTATTCTTTTACATAACAGTCTATACAGTTCAAAATATTAAAGTGCATTGAAACACTTTGAAAAGTATGTTGGTAGGATATGCCCAGCTTTGAAATTTCTCTATAAACTTTTACTTCAATTACCAGGATAATTGGGAGATCTAATGGAACAAAAACTTTGAAATCTCTGTAATCCAGTAGAAAATTCTTTTAGACTCAGGACTGGAATACTGCCATAGGATTTTATTCTTCATTACCAAGTATACCAATTAATTTACAGGAGATTTTTTTGATGATGGTTGTAGCCAGAGATGTTCCAAACATTCCTCTTAAATCACCACCATGTAACATAAATTTGTTAGTTCAGACAACAATAATTTCTTACAGTGAACTCTTATAGAAGGTTTGCCAAGAATGAACCATCAATTGCAAGCTGAAATATCTGCCCTGCCAAAAACTGGTATACCACACTATCAAAATTAATCATTTATGTTTGTGTGAGGTTTTATATTGTTAATGTATCTTTAATAGAAATTTAAAACTTGTATTGTTTACATGTATACTAAATTGCTTATTATGATGTGGATTCAAGTTTTTAAGTCTAAAAAAGTTCTGAAATTTATTTCTGAAGTTGATCTTTAAAAATCTGTATTTTCTTCAAACATTTTCTTTCTGTTCCTTTTAAGCCAGCCTTAAAAATATATTTGTTTCCCCTCCCACAACCTTTGCCAGTTTTGGTAGGGTAGTAGATTTAATTTTTATTTATTAAAAATAATTTTCTTTATTGATCATATCGTTTATTAACCTATTACACGATATACACGCCTTTTAACGCCTTTTTCACCCCCCTTTTTGTTGTCTCAAATGGTGAAAAAATGCCTTATTTAGGCTGCCAACACTTGTTTTTGTTTGAGAAATGGGTTAATGGCAAATTACATCTGAAAAAAAGATGAAACTGTGAAATCTTAGCTTCTGTTTAAAGTTAAGAACCAAACTTCTTAGAAGTACACCCTAGTTTGAATATATACAATGCTTAAAGATTGAATTCAAATAGATGTGTGATTCTCAAATTGACAAACTGCTTCGTTAAAAGAATTATGGTATCCTTGATTGATAAATGGAATACATTAATTTTATTTTCAAAGTACTCTACTAATGCTGTACAATGATTTATATCATAAAAAATATTAAAATCTTTTTTAACAGAACATTTTTCTTGTCATTAAAAGCTCTTACACGATGACTTTTAATGACAGTGAGTGTTACAAAAATAAATTTATAGTTCAGTAACTGTGTTATTAATTAAATACTTTGTCACTTGTAAAATCTTTATTTATTTTCAAAAGTAAGATTTTGTATTTAACAACATAATTTATAAATTAAAATATTTTTTATATTTAACTTTTTAACTGAATGCTTATTAATGTAAAATCAATCAACAATTAAAATAGAAAATGAACAAGAATTTGATATATTCAGGGACTATTTGCAGATAAATTAGAAATACCTTTTCAAAAAAGAAAAAAAAAATATATACCAATAACAAAAAGGTAAAAATGTGGCAGCATTAACTATTAATGGTCTTTTAGTCTGACAGTTAATTCATTTTTTTTTCTTCTCTTGACTCCACTGTTTTATATGAACATAAATGTGATAATAGCTTGGATATAATGAGAAAATAACTTCAAGTAATGAATTCTGTCATTATATCACATTAACTTTGAAAAAAAAAAAGTTTGCAAATTAATTTTTCCGTTTTAATTTACAATAAACACTATTATTTCACATAATTTATGAACATTAAACATTAGTTAACAGGTACTTTGGAGATAAAATTGCCTATCTATTTATGTTTAAATGCACCCCTATTGTTGCTGGAACTCGTTAAAGTAAATTACGCTATTAAACCAAAAAACAGATATTTTTTATGCATTTGAAGGCACCAATTTCTCTCTTTTTTTACTAACATGAAGACATAATAAGATCTTAACTATTTTCTTAATGCACCTATCTCTTTTATTCAAGTTGGGTAGTCAAAATATTTGTGTGGTAACAACTAATTTAAAACATGGTGTAAAATATCCCACAAAGCTAAAACGTTTTATGATCATTTTCATTGAAATCCTGACATCTTCTCTATACTATGTTTTAATGGACTTGTGTACTGTTATGAATTTGTTTTGTCAATCTTTTATTCCAAGCACCGGAAACATTACTTGAATTATCTTATTATATAAGTTATAGGACCACATTTTCTCCACCAGAAAACCCTATAAAATTGCAAAACAAAATTAAGAACAAAGATTTATCAGATCCACACCTTTTTTTTTTTTTTTACATAAAGTTACAAATTGTGAACTCTCATTTTCCTTTGTATTCAAGCAAATATTGCTACTTAAAGAAGTAAGTCAAGGATGTGAGGTAACAAAACAAGCATAATCACAAGATGAAAGCAAATTTGTAAGTGAACACTCAACACTTGCAAGCTTCAATTAAGAAAGCCCAGAGGTATATTCTTCATTAATTAACAACCAATAAAATGGTATAAGTATGATAACTGATAATGCTAGTTAGAAAACATATTGTTCGAAGATCACTAGTTTATATCAATAAATATGAGGTCACTTTCCTTAAGGCTCAATCAAAACTAAAGTATCACAATTCATGAACATTTTGCACACTCTATCCCATCTATATTTCATTCATCTTATAGAGAAATACCATCTACCTCAATCCTATACTGAACAATTTTTTGAAAAACAGAATTAAAGATAACATAAGTGGAGACGGACAGACAGACAGATGGTGCAATTTTTAACATGACGCCCTTCGGGGGCATAAAAAACTGAAAATGACAACAAAATATATTAAAAACAAGAGCTGTCAGAAGGACAGCGCGCTCGACTTTTTTAGTGCTTGCCTATAAAACAAAACTTTGACAGTTAAGGGCACACAAGACTTTAACTAGGAATTTCTAAGTACAAATCAAGAAACATTTTCACAGAGTTATCTTCTCTTGCTTACAGATAGGTCTCATGATGGCACATAAGAACTCCAACTTCCAAAGTAATATCTCAAATGGTTAAGTCAACAAGTGGACAAGAATGAAAATTTTAACTGAGTTTCTAAGTCAAAAAGGGCCATAATTCAAATAAAATCCTTAACAGAATTACCTTCTCCTGCCCATGTTTTGGGACCATGATCGTAAACAAGTATTCCAACTTTCAATTTAATATCTCAACCAGTTCAGTCAAAAAGTTGACTGGTACAAAAAAGTTAACCAAGATTCTAAGTCGATAAAAGGCCTTAATTTTTAAAACAAATCCCTGACAGAGTTACCTTCTCTTGCGTACAGATGGGGGTAATGATGTGAAATAGCATTAAAAGTTTCAAAGCAATATCTCAAAGGGTTAAGGCAATAAGTGGATTTTACCCATATTCAATGTATTTTCTAAGTCAAAAAGGGGCATAATTCTGTCAAAAACCTTGACAGAGTTATGTCCTCTTGTCTGTTGATGAAGGTCGTGATGGTAAACAAGTATGGTCAGTTTCAAAGCAATACCTCCAATGGTTTTGAAATAAAGTGAGGTGGTACAAAAAACTTAACCAAGCTCAATACACTTTCTAAGTCAAAAAATGGCCATAATTCTGTCAAAAACCTTGACAGAGTTATGTACTCCTGTCTGTAGATGGAGGTTATGATGGTGAACAAGTATGGTAAGTTTCAAAGCCATACTTGTAATACTTCTGAAATAAAGTGGGGTGGTACGAAAAACTTAACCAAGGTGTGACGCCAACGCCGACGCTAACGCTAACGCCGACGCCGGGGCGAGTAGGATAGCTCCCCTTTTCATAGAAAAGTCGAGCTAAAAAAGACTCAGTCTTTTTTATGTAGAGTAACAAATAAATACAGTAAAAAAACCTTAAAAATAAACAGCTATTGCTGAACTCCTGTCCTGTTTTTCTCATTGATAAATCAAAACAGAAATCAAATATAACTGCTCCATAAATTCTCCTCTTTAACAAAAGCTCAAAGAACTTGTTGAGTTGTAAGTAACTGGTTAAAAAAAAACATCAAAAGAAAGTTGTTAAATGGTGAACACAGGCATTAAATCATTGAAATCACATTCAGTATGCAAAAATAAAAAAAAGATATGTATGTTAAATTTGAAATTATTAAGAAGTTTGCATAAAATTGCTTATCCGAAACAAATAATTTGTGAGAATATTTCAGTTTCAGTTTCTGCTCACATCAGTGAATCATACCTGTATCTATTAAGTGTAAAACACTTGAACTCTTAAAAGATAAAGTTTCAACTTATAAATGTTGTATTTTACCTAAAATCTTTCCGGCACAGTAAAATTTCATCACAATATTTGTAATGAAATATCCAAAAGCTTTTACCAGAAGCTGGTTTTAAGAATATTTCTTTTAAAATGGACATCAGATTAATAAAAAATCTTTTGTGTTCTCATATAGTGAAAGTTTAGGAATCATTACCCAAGGACTACTATTCCATTGAGACAATGTTTCTTCTGAGATTTGAGTTTTAACACCACTGAATGCCCAATGCCCAAGTCATTTAAGTTCAACTTAATAGTCAAGAATTTATATATGTGGGACTATTTGGCTGTGCTAAAACCACAACAAAGAGTTGTAAGAGTCTGTAAAACAGACAGACAAATATTTTTGTTTCCATTTAAAGGATGAAACCAAAACAGCCCTAGGGTTACTTAGAAATTAAGCCTTTATCTTGATACTATTCATATCAGTGTAAATTTCCTTAACAGATAACAGTTACCCTAAGGTGTAACATTTCAATTTGACAATTTAATGTTAAGCAATGTGTTTAAAAGAAATTATAGCAATCTGGACAAATTTGATGTTTATTTTAGATCCAAATGATTTTGTTACAATTTGCGTTTCTCTTACAATATAGCTTTCAAATGTAAATTAAGGATAAAAGTATCAAAACAAAAATATTTTAGTTGGAAAAAAAGAGAAAAAATAGTTTCTCCCTAAGTCTTTGGTACAACAAAGAGATCTAAAAATTGTTAAAAAGCAAATATACTTGGCAGAGAGTAAACACAAGAAGTTTTATTGCGTAAGCATAAGTCTTTAGCAAACAAAATAAGGAGCTTGAGCTATTAAAGATTGCAGTTCTTAAAATAAAACAAAACAGATATGGGAAGGCTTTTACAAATCAATTAAGTGATCGTGCTGGATAAATATTTGGTAAAATGACAAATTAATTTTTAGTTTGTCCGGTTTCTTTGTTTGTTTAAGCAGTAATTGGTGTTTAACAATTAGCCCTTAAATACATTGTATCAATATTTCATTGTAAAACATGAACATGTGTTTTTCTGCACACTTAAATCTACATAGCTGCTACAGCAATCCTTCAGCAGAACCTTATCAATGTGCAAACATTTCCCGAGGAAGCCAACCTCTGAAAATTTCTTCAACATTGACCTGTTTAGTTTTTTTATTTAATTTAAAAAGTAAAAATATACCTGTATGAAAGACCTTTCTCTCTCTAATGAGTTGACCAAGGGTATCATATACATGCTGGTTGCTAGGTAGATGGAGTCCTTGGTAACCAATCTTGAGCCTTTCACAGACTGTATCTAATGTAGCAACAATCTGACTGTTGTTGAGGTCCATGATGATGAGACAGAGGGCCTCTGGTAGAGGTATAAACTGAGTCTGTGGTATTACCTGCATCTCTATACCATTTACATCACCTGAAACAAACAAGAGAATCACATTATTATCATACATTAAACAAGAGTGCACTCACCATTTGTAATGGTCTTGTTCTATTTTGAATTTGGACTGTTCATAATTTCAGGGATTACGATATAAAAATATTACAAATATTGGTTTATACAGAATTTATTTTAGTTCGTTTGTGTACGAAGCTATTAGCTTATAAACACTCTTTCGAATCCGTTCCTGGAACCAACCAGTACTGAGCAATGAGTGTAAAGTTTCTTGCTCAAGTGGAAAAAGACTTGCCCTGTCAGGGTTTGAACCCATGTGGTAAACAATCATAAGATAACTAGTCCGAAGCGTTAACCACTCGGCCATGTCGCCATTACAAATATTAAGCCAGAATTTGCACAGAAACCATGCTAGCCTGGATTTATACTGATTATATGTCTGTTATGATAATTGCAGCGAGTGCTTCAGGCTTATCATATTCTATTTTCCTAATTAAGTTACTTGAACATTTCAACATCCAAAATTTCAATGAAAATGCTTAATCATTGTATATTTTTTTTGAAGTTCTTAGTGCATAATTATAGAGAAACTTGAGCAATATGATAAGAGCTGTGCACCAGAGAATAATTAGTAATGTAATATTAGTATTTTTACAAGAAATTCTATAATTATTTCACAATTCATGTAGATCTATTTAAACATTTTGGTACAGATGTTCAAAAAGTCATTTCTGCAAACCCTATAATTAGAGGGAAGACTTTCTGAAGTACAAATACATTATCAAATCACATTCAAAAGCTTAGCATACATGCTATGTATTTGCATTAACATTAGGGGAGGTGCATATAACTTTTTGCGCAAACAATTTTCCCACATTGATAACTGATATCTTAATTAATAATCTATTTGATCACATTAATTTCTGTGTAAAGTAAACATTTAATAATTACTACAAAAGCCGTCCAAAGTAAAATGTTCTTAATAAACTGAAATATTGCTTTTGACTCATGTGTTTATTCAACTTTTTTTTCAATATCAGTGCTTCAAATCAAAGTTATCTCTGGGACAAATTGACACCAATTTGTAGTATGCTTAACTTCAAATTCAACAATGAATACAAAATTAAATCTTTCATGCTTGCTGAGTAGTAAAATTTAGAGTGCTATTTTGTTATATACTTTATTTTCAATGTTTCTTTTTTTAATTCATATTTTTTTAAGTCAGAACAAAATAACCTTTTTTTCTTGGTCTAATATAGATAACTCAATGAAAATTAAATATATACAAATTGCTTCTATTTCAACCAATTAATACCATTATGATTATATATAAAAATTCATTTATTAATTCATTGTTTTAAACTTTGGCAGACTAAATTGCAAAGTGATCAATGTTTTCTGGACATTTTAGATGAATTTCAAACAAATTAGACAGGTATTGTTCATCATGCATTTAGAGCCGTCCCGGCGGGTTAGCTCAATAGGTAGAGCATTGGACTGTGAATCGGGCGAATTGGGTTCGATCCCCAGATGGCGCAGGTCACTTTCATTGCGATTGATCATGAAATCTTTTCTACGGTCATTTGCACTGTACCTCTGCTCTGGTATGTACAGAAGTTTCAGTTCCTTGAGAAAGTGAAGGCAACTAGTATTGGTAAACTGCTTGACAGCCTGCCCAGAAATGATGCGGTGGCTGAACTGTGCTTTGGTGAAATCAATGTGGCTTATTACTGTGATCCGGGGTAAAAACTACCAACACCACCACCTCAAAATGCACATAGGCAGAAAGGAAAATGGTGCTGCAGAATAAAAGCTTTTATCACTGATGGTTGAAAATTAATAGGATTGCTTCTTATATGCAATGACCAAGACATGAAGGTTTCTTCAATGTCATGATATATACATATTTTGATATTTAATATAGAACTGACAAGTTCCTGGCCTAGGTTTCAACTATGCTTTTGCCTTTCACTTGTTCAAACAGCATCTATGTTACAATACTGTTTCCTCATCATCATGCAAAGTCTCTTCATTTAAAAGTTTTTGGAAATTAGAAAGTGACAGAAAAAGAGTGGGTACTCAGGCCTGAAATTCACCAGGTACCCATTTAAGCCCTAATACCATGTAAACATTTCATCTGGTTCAACCTTTGAAACACTATTGAAAGTTTTTATGATTTTCTTTTTTCCTATTTAATGATAATTAATTATTTTCATAATCAGCACTGTAAAAAATGTTCCTGTATATTAAATTTTGTATTTTTTGCAATAAACTGCCATCTCTTCTTCACAACAACCAATATTAAAATGTAACTAGGACAATTTCCATAGGGTTTATATAAGACTTATTTTTTTCTACAATATAACCAAACAGTGTTAAGAGTTCTTGTGAGGTGCATAGGATTTCAATCTCATAGCCTGACCTAAGAAAATTTACTTAATCAATTAGCCAGTTAAACCTAATATTGGCCCTAGGTTAGCAAGTCTGTCGTCAGGGATATCCTTGAGATTTTTCCTTAATTCAAAAATCTGATTTTAAAGACTACATAGACAATTGCATTATTCTAATATTTGATGATGTTTTAAAGTATTATTACGTTGTTTGAACAATTTGTGTGTTTGTTTAGCTTTACACTTAACTAATGTCATCTTGATGTATAGAAAATCCTATGACATCATGTTGCCAGGAGCCGTACTTTCAGTGCAGGAATTCTGAGGGCTCGTAACGTCCAGGATTAAAGGCAATTTAAAGATGATCTTCAACTTGGGGGATTACTTGAAAACTCATCTATTTAAGGAAAACAGCTATCATAGCAGGGCTAGTGGTAAGAATCAATACGTAAATCATCGACTAGCAGTCAATTTTCATGCAAACTCTTGAAAAAGTTTAGAAAATATTTAGTATAAAGATCAGCTGGATATTTCATGACTCATTAAAAAATTCGACATACTTAACACCATAGTTATATAATCAGTTTATATCACTTAAAAAAAGTGGAATAAATGGGTCAAAGCGTTGGGTTAAGAAAAACCAAATTAAGGGCCATTTATTTTCAATCTATAACCATTAGTTTTAATCTGTAACCTTTACAATAGCATGAATATTTGTTTTAGAATTTCTGTATGTTTGTTTGTTAACTTCAAAATGTCACCAGTGCAGGCCAGACCAATGCTGTTTGTTCATGGTCTGCACTGTATTTTCAGTCACTGTATTTTTTGAATGGTTTTGTTCAGACTGAAAGACAGACAAATCCATTTAAGATATTTACAGGTTTTAGAATTCAAAAGCATTATCTTGTGTTTATCTGTGTTAAAAAATGCTATAAACAGCTACTAAGCTTTAAGAGTTTCACATGCATTATACTGTTGTATTTTTCTTTTCTACCTAACAACAGAATTAAGAAGCAATTTCTACATGCATTGACTGATGAATCTCTTATTCCCATCACTAAAAACAATTTTGTGATAAACATTTCTTGAAAAGTTTCAGTTGAATTTTTTTTAACAATGAGACTCTTTCCACACATCAAACAGCAAATTATCACTTGACTCAATGAGTTTTCCCCTGGGTGTATGATTATGATATATATTTTTTTCATCTTTGAAGTATCATAAGGCTGCAATATATCTGTTATACTCATCATGACTGGGTACAGAACTTGTTCACTATAATGATGCTGTAACTGAATGATGAGAATGTTCTCTCTCATTTCTCAGCAACTAAGGATACAGATTGACAGATTTTGCCTTGTATCATTTACTGTAACTTAATAAATAATCCTAACAAAAAGTAAGTACAAAACCTAAAAAAACTTTCAAACCAGCCTATTCACCAGCCATTTAACTAAAATAAAAGAGACATATTTTAGCTACTTTCAAGTACTCTGTAGTTTAGAAAACTACTTGTCTACATGAGCTGAATAAATTTGTATGAACATTGCAATTATATTAAAACCGAAAGTGCCAAACAGAAAATCTATACAAAAGCAAGTTGAACCATAAAGTGCACTCATTCTAGGAAAGATATTTCCAAACAAAGCACAGATACAAAGACATTTATTCTATTCTAATATTATTATTGAATTTCATAATAATGATACATCATACAGTTACACAATGCCTTAGAAAAAGCAAGTTTTAAACAATAAAGGAAGAATATCTAAGAAAATAAGAAATTCCTACAAGAAATGAAAGGTACACCCATATCTTACAATCAGTAGATCATAGTCATTCCTGCCTGCTATATGCTTTACTACATGCTTTACCTATCTTTGCCATATCTATCAGTGATCATCATTAACAAGTTCACAACATATCTCTGTGAGGAAAGACAAAAGGCAATGGAGATACACCTGACATTATTTTCATGTTCATGGAAAAGTAACTTGCCAGAAAGGAATGTATGAATTCATAACTTGTCAACAATTTCAACATAAAGAATCTGACAAATTACACAATAATGCTGATAAAAGAGTCTAGAGGGGCAATTACTCTGCAAAAAGTTGAAGTTGTTGCACATTTATCATATGAATTCATTACCAATCTGCAATGCTCTATAGAAAAGTTTTCCTTTTTCTACAGTAATGTTTTTTTCTACAGTTACGTTTTTTGCTATGTTTATGTTTTGTTTTCAATTTATATCTTCATGGTAATGTTTTAAGTACTGGTTTGCATCGTAATCCGGTAAACTTTAAATTAACATGAAAGATTCCAAGCATAATCAACAAAAAATCTTTTATTGCAACAGTTGTTATCCATTTTAAACACAGCAAATGTGTTTTTTCCCCAATCTTAACCCAAGTGCAAACAAACTTTCACTGTTACAGCTTCATGGTGCTCTTCTGTTCATAATAAATAAGTCAAACCCCAGATTAGCTGGGAAAACCCAAAATATTCTTTATTCTGGAGTAAGTCTATTAGATATCGCAGGCATTGGCAGTTATTTTCTCTCTTTCATCATTTCATGTAACAATTTTTACATGACCTGCAATAAACTATTCAAATAGCACACTTTCTTAATTT